TTATTTGTTATTAAGAATTCAGACAAGTCTTTGTTTCCTAAAAAATAAAAGCTTAAAACCAAGTAGTTTCCTAAAACGTTAGAACGAGGTGAAAGGTTAAATTGGTAGCTAGAGAGCGTGATAAGGATACAAATTATGTAGCAACTATGACAATGGGAGGTTTGGTAAGAGAGAGATAGAAGTTTCTATGTTGATTATGATAGGTCTAGCCTCGATTAATAGTTCAGTTTTTTATGGTTTTGCGTTTTAGTTTTCAGTTTGTTTTTCTGTATTGTGTTTGTGTATCTTTTTTTGCTTTTGTTGTTTGTTTTCTTAGTCAATGATTGTATTATGTGGTTACTTTATCTTTTCTGTTTTGATTTGCTTATTAGTGATTGCAATATTCCTTTTTAAATATTAATAAAATGAACTCCCCCCCCCCCCCAAAAAAGATATCTTGAGTTTTGTATTCTTTGCCATCAATAATTCATAGTTTTTCTTTTAAAAAATTCCAGATCAAGTCTAGTTTACCAAACCTTGCAATCTACCGTTCTGTATACAAAAGAACGTAAAATCATGTCTTTAGTTTCTTAAAATCTTGAAATCTCTCCCATTCTATAATTCACGATTTTCAAATTAAAATTTATAAATTTATCGCCACGTTGTATTTTTGTCCTCCAAGATAACTCTAAATCAGACTCTGATATACCATTTTGAAGGAACATAAATTTGCATGCTGCATCTTAATTCAGAATTTTAAAGGTCAAATTTATGAGCTTTTCACTTTGTTATATATTAATTATTACACCCAACTCTAGTTAATGTGAGACTTCCCACATTAAATCAAGCTCACCTGCACTTTGGACATCCTAACCATTCAATCTTCATTTTTTAACAAAAACTATAATTTGTAAACTAAATTTATTTTTTTCAATCAAATTCATTTAACTTTTTTTTTTTTCAAATTAATATGAACATCAGCTTGTGTTCATATCATTCTTACCATTGGTTTCCAATTCTTGTTAAATTCCTAAACATGAAATCCTCCCCCTTTAAACTTCCCTGTACTGCTACTTATTTCGGTTCTCAAACATGTGAAAGTTAGACTCTTTCACTATTCATCATGATCTCACCTCCAGCTTTGGAAAATTCCCAAGCATGTGGTGTAACTTTAAAAAATTTGCCTCCATAACCACCTTATACTTTTTCTCAATTTCTTATTTGATACTTATGTATTTTTTTTGTCTTAATTAAATTTTTTAATTTTGCTGAATTAGTACTGTTAGTTTTTATAACCTTATTCTGTCAGCACTGTCAGCTGCTATACAAGGACTAACAGTGCCAATAGAGCCAAGTTGAAAATTTAATTAGAAAAAAAACATATATACCAAATTAAAAATTAGAAGAAAAAAACTTCAAGATGATTTTCGCAATTTTAACTCCTGAGACTCATACCGAAGCATATTTGAATTCATAAAAAAATCTTGGGACTTCGAATTTTGTACCCACTATGCAAAAGTGCTATCAAAACCATTATACTTAGGATAAAATGACATCCAATATTTGGATAATAATAAAATCCTGAAATTCGAAATTCAACATGACCAATTTGTATAATTAACTTATTATATCCCTTTTGATATTCAGAGGTTTCGCTATGAATATCACTGGCTTTTATAGTTCTCAAATCAATTAATTCTTCAATAATTAAAATATGATATGTAAAATTTATACTACATCCAGTATCTAATAAACAGTGTTATTGTTTTTTTTTTGGCCTGAAACAGTGTTATTGTTTATTTTGATAATGAATTAAGATGTCCGGAGTTTCTCTAAATTCCTAGAGATTTTGTAACCATCTATTTCTAATTAGTTTGGATGGATAATAACTTTCTAATTTTATTTTACGAAACTAAAATCAAAATACTTATCTCGAAAAGAAAAATTTGTTTCCTAAAATGTTAAAACTTGAAATCGGATAGTTTCCTTTTGGCCAAAAAAAAAACATCGAATAGTTTCCTAATTCATACCGGTTTCCTAATCTCTCCCGGTGTATGTGTGTATATATAAGCCTCTCTCAAATCTGCTGCTAAACAATCGTATCGTCGTCATGGTTTCTTGTTCAAGAAAGAGAGTGCAGTGTTTTGAGCCTGACGAGAATAATGCTACTCCCTGGGGTTGTTCCACTGTTCTGAGAATCTACGACGATCCCTGGAAGATAAAGAAGGTTCTCACGGCCACCGACGTCCTCCGCCACCATAACAGGCTGCTGTTAGCCGCCGACTTGGTTCAGAATCTGGTGTGCACCGTCCTAACTGACGATGAAAGCTCCAAGCTTGATTCTGGAGATGGAGCTGAGATCAAGTTCTGGGACGTGCACACCATGTCGCTTCACACTCTGGTCCTCAAAAAATGGGCTTCTACTGGCAGCTTCGTTCTGATTGGGAAGTGGAATGATGATTTCGTGAAGAGGAGGAATCTGAAGAAAGGAGACGAGATTGGGTTTCAGTGGGACAAGTTCAATCGTCGCTTCAACTTCTCTGTTCTTCATCGCGCCATGGCTTGATTGATATATATATTATACCACGTGTAGTTTTCTGAGTCTTTTTGTGTTATATGTCAGTTTTGTAGACAACGAGGAATTCTTTCTGGTATTGTAATTGAGGTTAGGGGAAGACGATGAAACATCTGCAGATGATTTTGTTTCTATATATATACACACATATGTTGTATGCTCTTAAGCAGCTCTCGCTGTTGTTAACTTCACTCCTGTTTAGTTGTTTTTTTTCCTTATCTTTGTTGTGGTGTCACTAACTATTGCTGATGTATTAATGCCTGATATATATGTAATCCTGGAAATATTGATGAGACTTTGGAGTGAATTTATAATGAGATATATGATCACAATGCAGACTTCTTCTAGCTAGTAATGATCAGAATCATAAAGCAATTTAATCTACAAAGAACTTGATCCGTCAAGAGGCTTAACAATTTCTGCTTTTGAATATGATTTCATCAACCACTGGTGACTGTAAAACAGGTTCAATTATAAATTGTTGTTTTGATATACTTGGTCAAGCTTTATAAAAGCGGATAGTACAAGGAAAGATTAATGGAAAAGGTTTTTACAATGAGAATTAATCAAACGAATGGATACAAATTTATTTAGGAAACTTTTGAATGTGATTGGTACATTTTGACACTGTTTGAGTCATGTCATTCATAAGGCGGCATGTTTATATAAACAGAATATTTTTGTATGAGACTAGATTATACCTTTATGAAAGTCTTCAAGAAATGGCGACAAGTTTGGCCAGATCAGAAGCATCCAATAGAAAACTTGTGATGCTGTATATTACCCAAGGCATATACCGATATTTGGTTCATTAGTTGGAAGTTTCCTCAGATTCTTGGTTGGGTTCTGATATGGTTTAAACCTGTGAAGGTGCTCAAATTTCATTTCAATATGGCTCTGCCTTCTTAATAACAAGTGCAACTGTGAAATAAGTGTTTACTGTCCCATTTGCATCCCCTCAAACTGATGGAGCACGCACGGAAGCTGTTCACTATCTAAATAGATCAGAATCAGATGCTGCCACAGGCCCCTGTTTTTCTTTCTTTTGTTTTTTTATGCTTTCTGGGTTTTGGACATTGCCTCTAAAAGTCTTGATCTGGGATCATTCTTGGGCCCAATGAATTATCTTCACCTCGGCTTCGTGCTTCCACTGCATTGGGCTTCATGAAGCAAGCGCTGGAGATGAGCATCGCACTTGCATTAAATTATTATAATTATTGTGGCGTTTGAGTGTTTATTTATGATAATGTGATCAATATTATAATTATTAAATCAAGTGTTTATTTATGTGTTTTAAGGCTGAAGGAATGTGGGGTCTCCCATATTCTAAACCGGTCACCCTTCAAGCTTGGGGTGTGACATTGAATTTATGAGTTTTTCACTTTATTATATATTCCCTCTGTGGCTTTTATAAGCAATATTAGACTTGCAAATGTTAGTTATATTTAGGGATAAGAGGGAGATGATAATTGTTGTTTATGAAAAAGGATGGGGGAGTATTAATTATTAAGCTCAACTCTATTTAATGTGAGACTGCCCACATGAGATCAAGTTCAATTACATTTTGGACATCCTAACCATTAAATCTTCATTTTTTAACAAAAACTATATTTTTTCAATCAGATTCATTTAACTTTTTTTTTTTTGCAAATTAATATGTATATGAGCTTGTGCTAATATCTTTTTTAGTATTGGTTTCATTGGCTGCATGAATTCGGATAACTCTGGTTAATTTCCTAAACATGAAATGCTCCCTCTTTCAACTTCCTTATGCTACTACTTATTTTGGTTCTCAAACATGACAATTATTTAGACTCTTTTACTATTCATCATGATCTCACCATCATAGGCAAATACCCCCTCAACTAAGGAAGATTCACAAGTATGGCATAACTTTCAAAAATTTGCTTTCGCCTTGTGCTTCTTCAAAATTTTTAATTAGATATATATATGTATTTTTCTCTCTGAACTAGATTTTTTAATTTTGCTTTATTAGCAGTGTTAGCTCCCATAACCTTGCTCTCTTAGCGCTGTTAGCTATCATATATGGGGTAATAGTGCTAATAGAGAAAAGTTGAAAATTTAATTTAAAAAAAACACTAAATCAAAAATTAATTAAAAAATATAGATACTTTGGAAATGATTTTGCCAATGTTAACTCCCTGGACTCATACTAAAGCATATATTTGGATTCACAAAAAATCTTGGGACTTTGAATTTTTTACCCATGTTTTTATTTAAAAAAATTTTTAATTTCCTTTTTCTAATTTAATATTACAAAACTAAAATCAAAATAAATATCGCTAATAAAAAAATTGTTTCATAAAATGTTAAAACTTGAAATCGAATAGTTTCCTAATCCATACCGGTTTCCTAATCTCTGCCGGTGTATGTGTGTATCTATAAGCCTCTCTCAAATCTGCTGCCAAACAATCGTATCGTCGTCATGGTTTCTTGTTCAAGAAAGAGAGTGCAGTGTTTTGAGCCTGACCAGAATAGTGCTACTCCATGGGGTTGTTCCACTGATCTGAGAATCTACGACGATCCATGGAAGATAAAGAAGGTTCTCACGGCCACCGACGTCCTCCGCCACCATAACAGGCTGCTGTTAGCCGCCGTCTTGGTTCAGAATCTGGTGTGCACCGTCCTAACTGATGATGAAAGCTTCAAGCTTGATTCTGGAGATGGAGCTGAGATCAAGTTCTGGGACGTGGACACCATGTCACTTCACACTCTGGTCCTCAAAAAATGGGCTTCTACTGGCAGCTTCGTTCTGATTGGGAAGTGGAATGATGATTTCGTGAAGAGGAGGAATCTGAAGAAAGGAGACGAGATTGGGTTTCAGTGGGACAAGTTCAATCGTCGCTTCAACTTCTCTGTTCTTCATCGCGCCATGGCTTGATTGATATATATTATACCACGTGTAGTCTTCTGAGTCCTTTTGTGTTATATATCAGTTTTCTAGACAATGAGGAATTCTTTCTGGTGTTGTAATTTAGGTTAGGGGAAGACGATGAAACATCATCAGATGATGATTTTGTTTCCACACACACACACACTCTCACACTTGTTGCATGCTCTCAAGCAGCTCTCGTTTTTGTTAACTTCACTCCTGTTTAGCTATTTTTTTTTTTTTCCTTTCTCTGTTGTGATGTCACTAACTATTGCTGATGTATTAATGGCTGATATATATGCAATCCTGGGAAATTTTCTGATAGGACTTTGGAGCGAATTTATAATGTGATATATGATCACAATGCAGACTTCTTCTAGCTAGTAATGATCAGAATCATCAAGAAATTTAATCTACAATGAACTTGATCTGTCAAGAGGCTGAACAATTTGTGGCTTTGAATATTATTTCGTCAACCACTGGTGACTGTAAAACAGGTTCAGTTATGGATATTTGTTTCGATATATTTGGTCAAGCTATTTAAAAGCGGATAGTACAAGGAAAAGGTTAATAGAAAAGGTTTTACCATGAGAATTAATCAAACGAATGGGGAAAAATTTATTTAAGGAAGCTTTTGAATGTGACTGGTCCATTTTGATGCTACTGTTTTGAGTCACATGTCATTCATAAGGCGGCTTGTTTTATGAACAGAATATTATGTAAGAGACTGCCTTCAAGAAATGGCGATAAGTTTGGCCAAATCAGAAGCATCCAATAGAAAACCTGATGCTTAAACCTGTGAAGGTGATCAAATTTTTGAATATCAGGTTTTCTCATATTCTGGGTTAGGTTCTGATATGGCTTAAGCCTGTGAAGGTGCTCAAATTTCCCTTCAATAAGGCTCCGGCTTATTAATAACAAGTGCAACTGTGAAAAAATGTGAGAGATTTTACAAAGACGAATCTTTGGAGAGAATTTTACCATCCCATTTGCATCCCCTCAAGAAGCTTTTGACAATCTAAATGGATCAGAATCAGATGCTGCTACAGGCCCTTGTTTTCCTTTCTTTTGTTTTTATGCTTTCTGGGTTTTGGACATTGCCGGGAAAAGTCTGAATCTTGAATGGGCCAGATGAGCTATCTTCACCTGGGCTTTCTGCTTCCATTGAATTGGGCTTCATGAAGCAAGCTCCAGAAATGAGCATGATTCTAAGAAGACTGAGATAATGATTAAGCATATAGAATACATAGCTGATTAGAAACAGAGCATGCTAGAGAGGTATCTAGTTCTGTTCTGCTTTCTATTGCACGCTCTCTTGTGCAAGGATATCTTCCACTGTGGACATAATAGACTCTGCAAATACTCTAAATAAGCACTTCTCTCAGACTCTCTTTCTCACAAAAATAACAGATCTGCAGAAAAGAATCCGCAGAGAAGGAAAATGCTTCAACTATAATTTCTGGAAGATCAACAACTGAGAAACTTAAAGGGAATCTGGCCAGCAGCCACATGATGAGCAGCTTCCCACATGGCATGGATTCCCTGTGATTTCTCCCAAAAAAAAAAGAAGAAAAAGAAAAAAAAAAAGGAGATTCTCTGTGATCCAACCTCAAGGGCTTGGGCTTGGGCTAGTTGAGGCCCAAAAGAGAGGTGCTTTGAAGCACCTCATAAGTAGGGATAATTATATTAATAGAAACCGGAGGTAGTATCATACCAAGTTTCGAACCCAAAACCTCATGAAACGTCCCGCGAGAACTTCCACAAAGCTAAGAGCGAAACCGGTACGTCACGGGACAGCATGTTTTTAGTTAACTAGGAGAAGTATATTATTATGATCTATCAGAACAACATGCGAGACCAAATTGGAAAAATCGCTCTAAATTATAAGCAACGTATCTTTGATTGAAAAAGGAATTAACACGATTTTTGGTTGTTTATTTTGTATGAATTTTCATTTTAATTTTTCAAATTTTAAATCATAAGTTTTAATCATTAAAAAAATTATCTAAAATTTTATTAAATTATATGAATCAAAAGTCAAAAAAATTAAAGATGACTTAAAAAAAATAAAAGCAAAATTTGGAGACTAAAATTTATATTAACTTTTTAAAAAACTAATATATTATATATTCTCTTTCAACTATTTTCTATGTGTATGTTTATTCAATCTGGATTAATTGACAAAAAAAAGTCATTATTTACCTCACAAATATCTTATATTTAGAACCAAACTTTCTTTCTACACATGTAAGATTATATAGATGCGTATTTCTGTCACACATTTTTCTCACTCATTTTCTATCTCTTACTCTCTTTACAAATAAATGCATATTTGAAAAAAATATATTTCTTATGCATTTATTACTTTCAATCAATTTTAATCCTTTGAAAAACAAACATGTTGTTTATTTTCTCTCATCCATCTTCTATATTGTATTTAATCAAGGTTAAATTATAAAAAAGGTCATTACTTACCCCATAAATACCTTTTATGTTTACCGTTTTAATTTTTCATTTTGATAGGATTGTAAATTGTAATATAAAATAAGAACAATACTCAAGGAATCAAGAATTCATTAATTCAAAAAAGTTCAAGAAATCAATCTTACATGTCACAAATAATAATAAGTCAACTTAAAAAAAAATAAAGAAAAAAAGCTAAAATCGAAGCCATTCCAATGAAATTAAGCCATCTACACCTATTTCAAGAACGAAGATATGCGTGCATCCACTTACTACAGGTTAGAGAAAAATTAATTATCCATATGTCAAATTAATGACAGACTAGATCAAGCTGAAAATCGAAGTCAAACTGAACATAAAAGGGCATACAAAATCAATATAATTTGATATGGAATTCATTATTCATTTATTTCAATTCTGATAGCAAGGTCTGACCATCTATATTAAAATCAGATGCCCAATGTTTTTTCTTTTTTTCTTTTTTTCCAAACACAAGAACATACCTTACTTTTTCTATAATTTTAACCTTTTTTTTTTTTTGCCACCGCTATAATTTTAACTTTTAAACGTTAGTAATGTTACATTATAAAATAGTAATACTCCATATGTTATTCATTCTTTCAAATAATAATAATAATTTAACTTCGAAATGAAAATAGAGGTAAAAAAATTTAAAAATAAAAAATTTTAAAAATCTAAATCATTTGAATTTAATTAAAGCCTTCTATTTCGAATATGAATTGAAGAAGAATCAATTACATTAGCTGCACATGCACATCCATTTATTGTTCAGAGCAAAATTAATTACTAATATATCATATTCAATGGAAGGAAGTCTGATGAAATTAATGACACATTATGTTTTAATGTGAAAATTCAAGTCAAACTAAGTATAAATGGGCAAACATAATCAATATGATTTAATATAGAATTCATATTACTCATTTATTCCATTTCTAATACGGGAGAATCCCAAAAAACTGTTTTTAAATTTTAAAATTACAAATCAGTCTTGTTTATTATATTTTAATAACAATTGAAAATATTTTAAAATCAAATAACAACATTTTTTTTTACAGTTATTCTTGATTTGGGATTTTAAAATTTTAAAAGTTTTTGTTAAAAAGATTTTTCCTTCTAATATCAAGGTTGTTGGACCATCAAAAATTAAAATCAGATGGCCAACAGCCCAACATTTTGTTTTATTTTTAGAAGTCTAACTTTCTTTATAATTTTAATAAGTTTACAATATAAAATAAGAATAATAATATTGCGACTATCAATCTTTAATAATAACAGCTTAATTAACTTGGAAAAAAATTAAAATCTAAACTAATTAAGCTGTCTATATATTTATTTCAAAAATGAAGAAGCATATAATCATATAAATTCCACACACACAAGCATTTATTGTATAAACCTAAATTAAATGAAGGAGATAACATCAAATTAATGACAATATGTTTTCATGTGAGGATTGAAGTCAAATCAAGTGAAAAACTGACAAACAAAATGAATACAATTTAATACGGAGGAGTGAGTATTAATTGAATCCAATGAGCACAGTTTCCTCATAATAAATTTGCATCAGTTTTCAGGCTTCTTGTATAAAGCCAACCCATGTTGAAGGTCTAAGCACACCAGAAACACTGGAATCTGAAATAGTCGGGTGAAATTAAAGATCAGTACGTAGTGAAGATGATGCTGACGAAACTGATATCTGTGCTTCTTCTTCTTATGGTTGTTGCTCTTAGCTCATCAAGCTTTGATCATGCAGAAGCCAGAATCATAGATTTGAAATATGAAGAATCTGCAGAATCTGAGGGATCATCATCTTCATCTTCTTCAGTCTTTACAGATGAGGGTTTTGGATCCTTTGCTTCAGGTCCTTATCATGGACCTCCAAGATATGGAACTCACCCACCACTACGACCACTACCACCACCATCATCAGAAACTCAGATTGAGACAACGTCTGAGGAATTTATGTCCGAGGATCAGTCTTCTGGGACACTAGGACATCATCATCATGGTCATCATGGTCCGCAGGAACATTCAGCTCCAGCCCCTTCTCCCAAACGTGAAAATGGAACCCCATCCCTAGCTCCCAAACATGGACATGGAGCCCTATCCCCGGCTCCGAAACATGAACATGGAGCCCCATCCCCAGCTCCCACCTCCACCTCCACACCAACACCGACGCCAACAACCACCCCCACGCTCAGCCCCGTTGCCTGAAATATTTGTAGATTGATGAAGATGAAGTTTGTGATTATTAGTTAGTGTGATATTATTACACTAATGAGATGAATTATCCTATTTAGATTCTATAATAAAATTGATTTTTTCTTAGATATTTTCCTTGCAAGTTTTCTCTTAATAGTTGCACATACATGTAGTCACAACTCGCTTGGTTTGCCCGCAAGATCAGTGAAGATGGCCTGCTTTCATTTGACACCGCAAAGGAAGTGTTCACGTTGATTCCAGAGCCTGCTCCAGATTTTCATGTGGACAAGGAGTTGATGGCGTATGAGAATAAACTTGCT